TTCCATGTCGCCCACACAGTACTAAGGGATTCAACTTTAAAACAACTTTCAACTTATCACCTTAGTACTATGTATCTCAACATAGGACATATATCTTCACCATATGTCCCCAACTTTCCAACTTTACAACAATAAACATCTGGCCGCTTGTAATCGGTATAGCTCGGTCTGGCCCCTATACCGTGGTCGCTTTATACACGTGTGCCTCGACCTTGCCCACACACGGGATCAACTAAGTCCTAGAGGAGAACAACACAACGTCCACTCCAAGGGACAACTTCCCAAGGAGGGTTTTCAAAAAATTGGGCTCTCAGAGCACCACAACTATCTCAATCCGCACAATGAGATGAGCAACTTCGAAAAAATCTCCTCTAGTCCTAATGATCAACAACTTATCATCACAACTTAATAAACTTACAACTTAAACAACATGGTATATCAGCACAACAACTCATCAACGTTATTTAACAACACAACATCTCATTTCAACTTTAAATAGTACAATCAACTCAATCATCATAAAATAATATTTTTTCAACACATGGCACAACATACAACTTTATAGCAACACACAACTCTTTTCTAACAACTTAACAATATTATCATCATGCACTTCACAACATATACATGTCCACACATAACATATAGCAACTTTATCAACTTAATTTCAACTAGCTTTAACAATATCATAGATCAACACAACTTGTAAACAACTTCACAACTTAACTACAACATGCATATCTAAGAACATCATTAATAAACATTTAATCATATATTAGCAACACACAATATTTTCATCACATAACACAACTCATACTAATCAACCTAAGTACCCAAAGGAGTTCCCAACTCACATACAACCAACAACTTTACCATCTAGCTTTCCTTACCTGAAGATTGGCTCAGAATAGCCAAGAAGCGAAATTCCCTTTCCGAAGCTCAACCCGGAACTTCAATCCACCCAAAGCAAGCTACTTAGTCCAGAGTCCTTATCTCTAAAACTTCTCTCTAAAAACCTCCTCTTCTCCTCAACCACCCAACTCTATTTATAGAAGTTCAGGAGTGGCCAAAACGGCCTGATCCAAATCCGGAACGGCCCGATCTGCACCCCTTCATCATGTGTAAAAATCACATGCAGAACGGCCTGTTCTGAAATCAGAATGACCCGTTCTGGGACTCATCCAGAACGGTCCGTTCTCCATTAATCCGTGTCGAATTTATTAAGGTCGCGTTCAAGTAAAATTTTCTAATAAAGATTAAATCAACAAGTAGTGATATTTTGCGGAAACTCATAATAAGAAGAAACATGAGGGCAGAAACATAACATTTAATTCTGAATTTTTATGGCCACCAAAACTATCGCCCAGTACTGTACTTTAAATTATGTTGCTGATGGAAGTTGATAATAATAGTGATGGTCAGCAAGGGACCTCTTGTGTGATTGTGGCCACACACACATGCAGCTTTTAGGTCTGCTTTTACTTCATATCATTAATTCTAATTTATGGAGACAAGCAACGTACACTGTGGCATATCTACCACCTAGAATGGCCAATTGCTAACTATTTTTGTTAATAACTGTTAATTTCAGGATATGAGGTTGTGGAGAAGGCATGCTGTTCCACAGGAACATTTGAGATGAGCTATTTGTGCAGTGATAAGAATCCACTTACATGCACAGACGCCAACAAGTACGTGTTTTGGGATGCCTTTCATCCTACAGAGAAGACAAATCGCATTGTCTCAGACTATTTGATACCCAAGGTTCTAGCAACCTTTAGATGATATCCAAATTACTTTCCATTTCAGATATATCATATAGCTACTCTTCCCTAGGGCTACTTCGGAACATACATATAGCGATATTTAATATCGGCTTATCAAGTCTCATGCTAGCTAATATGTATACGTTTTCTGTGTTCAGTTGTTATATATGACATGAATTAACAGCTGAATATCATGTAGATGTAGCCATGTACACGGCATTCGACCTACGCATGTTATACTGTGCTTCGGCTTTTGCTTCTTGTATCAGTTGTATTGTATGGCTCTTGGCTTTGGTTCCTTTACGTGATTCTAAGTGCCAACTTTTGCTTCCAACTTGTTTTGCACTACCAGGAAAAACCTAAGTTCCGCATGTCATATATCATTAAAAAAAGCTTGGTCATCGATGATACATGTATCATGTTTAATAATATTAAGTGTGAGATAGTATATTATTGCAAAAAATTTAAGTATTATCCTTCTTAAATCATTTAAAAAAGATTATCCACTATTAATACATGTATCAAGTTTAATGTTTGATGTGAGAGTGTTGAAAAAAACTAAGATTTAATCACATATACACTGTCAGTGTAAAATTTTTTTTACATTGACAATTAATTATATCTCTTAATTGTGTCATGTTAAAAGTAAATGTGTTTACAGTAATATGACACAATTAAGAGATATAATTGGTTACCAGTGTAAAAAAACTTTACACTGACAATGTATAGGTGATTAACTCAAAAACTAAAGTCCTACCTATCTTAAATTTTTATAAAGAATCACGTACTATTTATAAATGTATTTAGTAATATTATACATGAGGAGATATATATCATAGAAAATCAAATTTCATATCAACTAAAAATAAAATAAATAAGAATTTATAATTAAAAAGTAATCATCTCTTTATAACCTAATTTTGTAGAATTAAGTTAGATAAATAATGATACAATCCCATATCGAAATCAATCCAAACAATATACAGACCAATTAGGGAAAAAAAGGTTGCTACTGCTACCCCTAATGTACTAGAAAACCAAGGCCAAGATCTAACCTATAATATTACATCCAAAAGCATACCTACAAATGCTAGCGTTTCTTTGAAGCACAAGAGATCACACAAAGCATTTGTCATTACGAAAAATATGCAATTTAGCGACCACCAAAATCGGTTGCTAAATTGCTAAAATTGGTCACTATTTACCTTAGTGATTGAATTTAATCAGTCGTTAAAACCCTGGTCGCTAAGCTATTTAGCGACGGAAAAATTTTCGGTTGCTAATTCGGTCGCAAAATAGTTGCAATGATTTTGGTCGCTGAAGTGTATGAGACTAAATTAGCGACTGAATAAATCGGTCGCTAAATATTTATTTTTTATTTTATAAAATTTTATAGACGTCGCAAATTTGGTCGCTACGAACCACTCATATTTGGCCTCTTAAGGATTTTATTTCACAATAGCATGTTTTGTCCTTAATTACACAATTTTTGGAAACTTCCCAAAAAGTCACCCATCCCTATATTACTTCAAGTCAAGCACGCTTAACTGTGAAGTTCTTATGAGATAAGTTACCGAAAAGTAGATGCATGTTGTTAGTATAAATAGTACAAATTAATTCATTTAAGTCATCCTCAACTATTCAATCTCATACTTATATTATCTTTGGATCCTTATCAATTTGGTGTATCCGGACCGTTATAAATATATAATAATATATATAATAATTATATTACTAATAATAATAATTATTATATTATATTTAATTAATCTTTATTTATATATACTTACTTTTATAATTAACAATCAACTTATTT